TCTCCCCCATAGTATCTATCTCTGCCCTCAAGTAATTTGTGCTCACGTGCATCCTTACACAAATGGAATCAGAATTCTGGAGGTGGAATCCACGGTCACCCAGTTCCCCATTTGCATTTCATAAGTGAGGAAGCAGGGGTTCAGAGAGGGCAAACCACATGCCCATGGTCACAGAGGATGTTAGAGGCTCAGAAGCAACTAGGTCCAGGTCTCCTGCCTCCCACTTGAGTATTTGTAAGTTGGTATCAGGCTATCAGTCTCACAGCCATGTGCACGCACACGCACACACACACACACACACACACACACACACACACACACACAACACACGCACCTTGTGGAAACAAGCAGTGGAGTGGTGGAGACCCCCACACCAGGCTTAAACCAGGGACACCCCCTCCCACACTCTGGCTCCTCCTGCAGAGGTTGCTTTGCCCCTTACACCACCCCATCCAGAGCCCAGCCGGATGTGGATAAACCATCCTCCTGCCTTCCCAAATTGTGGCTGACGGTTGCTCAGGCAACCGCCTGCCAGATTGGGGAGATTAGCTGAGGAATGTCGCTGGGCCAGTTTGAATTGATGCTGGGGGAGCTCCTGGTGGTCCTGCGTTGATTAAGCCCACCCTCTCTGGGAGGTCCTGGCAGAGATGGGTGCCCAAGGAGGGGCCTGGTTTTCTCCCTGCCCCTAGGCCAGTTGAGACGGTGTCCCTAAGGCTTGGACTAGGCTGGAGTAAGGGAGTGTGTGTGTGTGTGTGTGTGAACATTTGAGTGCGGGGCTGTGTGTGTGTGTATGTATGTGAGAACATTTGAGTGTGGGGCTGTGTGTGTGTGAACATTTGAGTGTGGGGCTGTGTGTGTGTGAACATTTGAGTGCAGGGCTGTGTGTGTGTGTGAACATTTGAGTGCAGGGCTGTGTGTGTGTGTGTGAGTGCGTGTGAACATTTGATTGCAGGGCTGTGTGTGTGTGTGTGTGTGAACATTTGAGTGTGGGGCTGTGTGTATGTAAACATTTGAGTGTGGGGCTGTGTGTGTGTGTGTGTGTATCTTTCTGAGTGAGAGCGGAGTGTGTGTTGTTTGCATCCAGGATGGGTCCCTGACATCTGACTCCCAACTCCTTGGTGGCTTGTCCCGCTCCTGATCCTGTAGTGCCCTCTGGAGAAGCCACCTGATTCTGTCTGTGCCTCACCTTCTTGAGTAATATAGGTGGCTTAACACCCAGTATCTGGGACTTCAGGTGTGGCCTCGGGCAAGCCACCTCATCTCTCTGTGCCTCAGTTTCCATCTGTTAAATAGGAATAATAATAGTGTTATCCATGTGGTATCCCTTTCCCCACTGGGTGCTGGGGGTGGAGTTCTTACAATATTTTGAGAAAAAAATTTTTTCTGAGACTCACATGGAGGATGAGTGATTTTTATTTGAGTGGAATTACATCCTTGGGTTTCCAAACTCCCATTTCCCTTAATCCAGTCCTGAAAGATGTGCAGCTGGGGATTCAGCAGAGCTATAAACAAAGCCAGGGTCCAGAGTTTCTGCTCCATGCTGGAACTGGGTCCGGTACAGCACCAGGCTAGTTGCAGTTCATTACTCCATTGTGTGGGGTTCACATGGCTCACACGTGAATGAATGTAGGGGAGCCAAGAATGGAGGGCATTCTTGTAGGGCAATGAATGTAGGGCACCCCCTTCAACAGGAGTCCTGAAAACACAGCGAGTGAATGCCTTTGTTTAGGGGATTAAATATCTCAAGTCTTTCTGCACTTGCAGCGGCCGTACCTGCTCTGGCCAATGACCTGTTCCCAGGTGTGACTGACGGACAAGTACCTCCCCTATGTCACCCAGACTTGACTGGGCATGCGTCTCTTCTCCCCCTGTCCAGATCTGCGAGGAGTAGACTGGTGGCTTCCTGGGGAGTGTTAAACTGAAGCTTCCTGGCAAAGCTGCACAGATGGCATGCTCTTTTGCTCCTTTGCAGTTATTCATAACTAGGTTAATCCACAACGCTACCAATAGTATTTACCTTCTGAGTTACTGTGAGGGTTCACCAGCGCAGGTGCTCATGGTGTAGGTGGCAGCCCCCTCGTGGTGGTGGTGACGTATGTGTACATGTCTGTGCCCATGTCTGTGTCGATAGAGCTGAGAGGGATTGCCGGCTACCATTCTTGCTCTGAACCCAAAGTCTGATCTAGTGTTTACCTCCGGGGCTGGTGGCTCCTTGCAGGAGTTGGGTCTCTAGCAGGAGCTGGGACTTGGCTTTGTGTCATCCAGACAGGAGGTGATGGGGTTGTTCCCATCCCAGGGTGAGCTGGGGACTGGTTGGGGGTGGGGTTCTCCTTAGGGAGACTGGCCCCAGAGATACTACCTGCTAAGGCTGTGGCTGGAATGGGCCTGGCCCAGAGATACAGGACTGGGGAGGGACATGGGTCAGGGAGTCATTCTGCCTAGGGGCACTCTAGTTGGAGTCAGTCAGCTGGGGAGGTCACCCTGGCTGGGGTCAGTTATAGGCGTCATTTGGCAGAGGTCAGGGGTCAGTCAGTCTGGTGGTCATTCTGGCTGAAGTCAGATGGTCTGGCAGTCATCTGAATGTCAGTGGGGTCACTCTGGCTCAGGTCTGTTTGTGTGGGGTCACTGACCTGGGTTAGTCAGTCTGAGGGCCATTCTGGGTAAGATCAATGGTCTGGGTGTCCCTCTAACCAGGTCAGTCAGCTGGGGAGTCCTGACAGCTCATGAAGGAAAGAGCTGGCACAATCGGGCTCGCCCCAGGACCAGGGGCGGGACCTCTGGGGCAGCTGCCTTGTTACTTGTGTAGCAACAGGAAGGGCCTGCACCCTCGCAGGGCTCTAAACTCTGGCTTCTCTTCATGGCAATCTCTCTGCCTCAGGGAGGCCTTGGCTAAGACCCTCAGGAGCAGACTCAGCTCAGGCTGAATGAAGTCACTTGTTCCCTCCTTCAGGAAGCCCTCCCTGACCATCCCTACTGGCGATGTCCTCTCTGTGCTGTGCTGTGGATCATTTTCTAGTGGGAAAGCTAAGACCTTCCCAGCACTGATGAGGTTAAAACGCACCTCCCACAGGCCACAGGCCACTCACTGTACAGACCAGGGCTTTTTACACAAAGGGGCAAAAGGCTCAGCCCAGGACTTGCCCCAGCTCTGGAGAGAGACTTCTGTGATTTCCTTGCATCCACTTGGTGCCATCCCTATGCCCACAACTCATCATTTTACACTCCGATAGGGTCCAAGAAGAGGAAAGGGAAACCCCCCACAATAGGAGCCCCTTTGTGCCTGGCTGTGCTGGGTGTTTCCATTATGTGATCCTCATAGCAACCTAGAGAAGTCCCTGCTGCAGGTGAAACAAGAGCCTCTGAGAGTGGTCACTGGCTGTGTGTGCAAAGTCCCCGCTGCTCCTGGCCCGCGGCACCCACTCTCCAATTGCTGTCTGTTTCTCTCCCCTCCTCTTCTTGAGCCTGGGAAGTAGCTCAGGTTCTCATAGTGAAGGCTTTTCTGGTGGGAGATGGGGACTTTGGCAGCTGACCAACATGGGCTCAAGTCCTGCTTGCTACTCATGTAGCCTCAAGTGGCACGTGTGAGGAGCCTGGTGTTCCCTGAGTGCTTGCATGTGCTAGGCACGGTGCTAAGTGGATCCCACAATGAATCCTCAACAACCGCCGTGTGGATGGGGAAACTGAGGCTCAGAAAGGAGAAGTGACTTGCCCACAGTCAAAAGGGTTGGCAAACTTCTGAGTCAAGAACCTTAGGAGTCCAAACTCCTAAGTCTGTCTGATACCAAAGCCACTCACTTATCTACCACGTTTACTGTAGACGAGCCCTTCACCCCTCGGAGCCTCAGTCACCGTGTCTGTCAAGGGCAGGCACCCAGGACAGGGCTGGCACGATTTGTGCCTGCTTCCTTGCCACTTGCTCAGGCATTTTCCAGCTCTCAGATGCTTCAGACTATCACTGAGGGGGACTCCAAACACTGAGGTTTGGGAGTGAGTACAGGGACCGGGTGCAGGTACTTTCTGAACCAGTGGTATTTGTATTAGGTGCCCAACTCAGGGCTTGGATGAGCGAGCTAAGATTTACGGGCCTCATTACCAACCAAAGGTCTCACTCACATCTATTTCAATCCCCTATTCCTTCCTCCTCTTCTCGTTTAAACTGTAAACATTGGTTCCAAATCATGAGAATTTGCTTCCTTTGCTCATGTGTGTGCCCAGTCCATATATGACCGTGCCCTTGTGTGTCATATTCCTGCAAGCAGAAACCTAAGTTGGGTGACTTTGGGCAATGACTGAATCTTCTAAGCTCATCTGTCAAGTAGGAATAATAGTGGTACCCGCTCAGAAGGCAAGGCCTAAATGCGAGTCTGCACCTATAAAGTTTAGCACTGTTCGGGGCTTGTTGTAAGCCTGAGATGATCTGTTGCCACTGTTATTTTTAAGCAGATACTGTCAGGGCTGGCTGAGGGCATTCATGACCCTGCTGGTCTCGGGGCCTTCTGTCTGTCCTCTATGGGAAGGTGGAGGGGCAGGTGATGGGCTCTGACTAGCAGTCAGGAGATCTCAGTTCAAACTCATTCAGCTTCTTTGGGCCTCGGTTTCCTCATCTGTAAAATGGGGGTAATTCTAAGTCCTAATCTCACGAATTGTTGTGAGGTTCTAATGATATAGCAGTAATGATAACTAGTTTTTCTGGGTAGGGTCTTTGATGGGTGGTTGAGCAGTGCGTGTGTGGGGGTGTCCTGGGAAGTACTGGAGGAGTGGGCAATGTGGGGAGGTCTTGTATTGGGAGGAGACAATGTAAAGAGAGCTTTGGTAGAGGGAGAGGGTGGAGGAGGGAGAGTTTTGTTGGAGGGAGCAGTGAGGGGAGGGCCTGTGGAGAGGGAGGGGGGCAGGGTAGGCCTGGGTAGGAAGGGAGTGTGGGTGCACCTGGAGGTAGTCCAGGAGCCCCCCTGGATAGCAGCCCTGCCCTAGCCTTGGCTAACCAGGCCCTGCCCTCACAGCTGGCTGCACCTTCGAGGAGACAAGTGACTCAGCAGTGCCCTGTGAGTACAGCCAGGCCCAGTACGACGACTTCCAGTGGGAGCAGGTGCGGATCCAACCTGGTACCCGGGCTCCTGCGGACCTGCCCCATGGTGAGTCTACTCTGTCACCATTCCCCATTTGTCTCCTGCTGGGGGCATTCTGCCGCCCTGCTATGTGACCTTGGGTACATTACTTAACCTCTCGGGGCCTCATCTGCTTTGGCATCTGTAATGACATACATGACACTGAAGGTGAAGCTCTCTGGACACTGCCCAGCTATGTACATCAGGGAGTTTCCCTGTAAAATCGATGCAGGCTCAAGTATTCAAAGACCCTCTTTTTTTGCCCAGCTGGTGTGGCTCAGTGGATGAGCATCCACCTATGAACCAGGAGATCACGGTTCGATTCCCGACTAGGGCATATGCCCAGGTTGTGGGCTCAATCCCCAATGGGGGGCTTTGAGAAGGCAGCCAATCAATGATTCTCTCTCATCATTGATGTTTCTCTTTCCGTCTCCCTTCCTCTTTGAAATAAGAAAATATATATTAAAAAAGAAAAGACCTTCTTTATTCACTGAGAGCCTCTGAATCCTGGGTTCCCAGGACTTGAAGATGCTGAAAGAGCAGTAACATTGGGGCTGGATGTGTATAAAACCTTCCTTCCTCTGCCTCCTTTTCCTGCAAGTCCCAGATCCTTTCCACTCCACAATGCCCTGACCCTGTTTCAGGCTGGGGAACTGTGTCATTGTGAGCCCTGGGACTCGGAAGACTAATGACATGGATTCTAGTCCTGGCCTCCTGCTCTGATGATGGCCCCTGGAACCCTGGTTCCAGAATCATGAAGACTGAGCTTCAAATCCTGGCATTATCACTTTATCAGCTGTGTGACCTGGGCAAGTCACTTCATTTCCCTGAGCTCCCATGTTCTTACCTGTAAAATGGGGAGAATATTTATTTCACAGGGTTATTAGATAATGTCTATATAAGGTACATAACATGGGTAGCATTTAGGGGTTCAATGAATGTTTAGTTGCTATTGTTGGAGGTATTTGAGGGAGCCCAATTATTAGCACCCCTCTTCAGTGGGTGCAGAATCAACTGGGAGTTAAGAAAAGGGTAAGACAGATAGAGGCCAACATATCAACCTTATTACCGTTAAAAGCTGGGTGGGAGGAGATAGCAGTGTGAGAACCACATGGGCCTGCTGAGGGAGCCTCAGAATTGACAGCCTGCGGACCCCTTCCTCTGCCCTGTCACAGTAGTGGGCCAGAGTCTTGGCTCTCAGAACTGCTGTCAAGGGTGCAGGGAAGGGCAGCAAAGATTCTCAGTGGTGAGGCCAGGAGCTGAAGCCAACAGGAGAGAGGCCCTCCGCTGCCTGGCCTGGGGGGCCTCCAAATCCTCATCTCTTATCATTGGCATTGCCTCCTGGAGGCCTCCCTGCCTCCCCCTCCTGTGCCCCTGTGCCCACCCTGGGACTCCCATCTCTGTCTTTGCAGGGCTCTCAGTCCCTTGTGTGAGCCCTGTATTATCAGGTATCAGAGTCTGATCTGGGTGAGAGTGATCTATCAAGGTGCCCACGGTAGGGCACTGTGTGGGCCGTCTCCATATCCCCAGGGCCCCACTCTCAGTCTGGTACCTGGTTGGCACTCAGGTACAAGGTGATTTGCATTCACCTATAACAGTCCTGACCACTCTGTGCGGGCTCTCTCTTTCTCTCCCACACACAAATAGAGGTATATCCAGTGGGAAAGGGGAAAGAGAAATTTAGCAAGTAGCAGGGGCCTTGTGCTGGATCCTGGGGAAGCAGGGGTCAGCAAGATGGGCACAGTCCTGCTTCCTTGGTGCTCTCCTTTAAGATAAGGGTATTAGGGTAGAGAGAGAAGGAAAGAGGCAGAGAGCAGGAGAGAGAAAGAAGAGCCACAGGACTGAAGGGAGTAAATGAAAGAAGGGGGGGGGGGGGGGAGGGGTGTGTGTGTGCAGAGTGAGAGCAAGGCAGAGGGAGCAGAAGGAAGAGACAAGAACAAAGTGTCAGATTGAAAGGGGGAGGAAGACGCACACAGCTGCTCACAGGGAGAGGAGAGAGGAGGGGGGGTGGTGTGGGGCCTAGAGAGACTGCGGAGGACTGGGGCTGCCCCTTCCTGAGTGGGGACGGGGACCTGGGTTTTTGTTTGCTACCCACCAGGACCGGACCAGGAGCAGCCTCCACAGGCTTCTGGCTCACAAAGATGAATGAGATCGCCTCCTTGGAGTCCCTGGGGAGTCATCTCAGAGCTGGGAGCTGAATGAGCTTGTGTTGGCTGGCAGCCAAGCCCGGGAGGAGGCAGCGCTGGGTGGCTGCGGGCACCCCGTTGGCAGCTGCTGGGGCCTTCTCCCCACAGAAGGGAAGCCATAATCCCTCAGCCAGGTCCTGAGGAGTCAGCCCACTCTGTCACCCGACTTCCAGGCCAGCAGACAGCCTGGATCTCTGGGGAAGGGGCAGGGCTGCCTTTCTCTAGGTTGGAAATCAAGAGACATGTAACCCAGGAATTTAGACTCAGGAGGTGGGGGCTGGAAGGGAAGTTAGAGTCTTTTCATTGAATCTGTTCTATACAGTCATTCTGGTTGGGTTCAGAGCCTGTGCTGGGGACACAGTGGAACCCTGAGGCATCATGGGCTGGTGGGAAACACACACACCTTTATTCATGATCTAAGGGCCAAGAGAGAAGCCCGCAGAAGGAGGGAGGAAGGGGGGGGAGACTTCAGAAGAGGTGGCCTTTGAGGGCTTGTCGTGCCAGACTCTTGACTGCTGAGATGAATGACATGGTCCCTGCCTCCAAGGACAGCTCAGAGCGTGGGGAAAGCCTTGGATCGGCATGAGCTTGGGTTGTGATTGCAGGTGGTGAGGAGCAAGAAAGGGTTGTGTTAAAGTCAGACTTCTGTGTTTTTCCTGCTCCAAGTCTCTCCTTTGGGAAATAGATGTAGGAAAGTGAAGGGACTTACCCAGTGAATCAGAGCTGGGTCCAGAACTCGGAACTCCGGATTCATGGTGTTGTCCAAATTCCTGGGGTCCTTGGTTTCTGCCCACTCCTCTGTGCCCACCTGACCCTGGTCCTCCAGGTCTCCTGAACTCCTGACTCTTCCTCCTCTCCTTTCAGGTTCCTACTTGATGGTCAATGCTTCCCAGCATGCTCCAGGCCAGCGGGCCCATGTCATCTTCCAGAGCCTGAGCGAGAATGACACCCACTGTGTGCAGTTCAGCTACTTCCTGTACAGCCGGGATGGGCACAGCCCGGGCACACTGGGTATCTACGTGCGGGTCAATGGCGGTCCCCTGGGCAGCGCTGTCTGGAATATGACGGGATCCCATGGCCGTCAGTGGCACCAGGCTGAAATGGCTGTCAGCACCTTCTGGCCCAATGAATATCAGGTGGGCTGAGTTCAGTCTGTGGTCAGCTTATGCTTGAGGGTGGGGGTAGTGAGGTGTCAGCTTGAGGCCAGAGTGAGTGAGTGGCTGAGGATGGAATGAGTTTGTGTTCAGCATCAGGAGGCAATCTGTGGTCAAGGCCAGGAGTCAGTCTGTGGTCAGCGCTGGGTTATTCAGTGACAGTTCAGTCTGGGTTCCACGTCAGAGCTGGGGTCAAGAGTGAGTTGGAACTGTGCTGGCCTGGAATCCCTGTCTGGCTGGGAAGAGTTTTGCTACTTGAAGGTAACTGTCCTCTGGCCTTGACCGTGTTAGCTCTGAGGGCTGACACCGCCTCCCACAGCTAGCTGGCTTTGTTGGGCAGTCATTGTGAGCTGGGCTGACCTCTGCTGCTTTGAGGAAGGGGCTGGAGCAGAGCTGAAAGGGGGCCCTTGTGGACACCTCCCCAGGCAGGGCTGGCGGAATGTCGGTATGACAGGGACCCTCCCGCCTCCCCCAGGTGCTGTTTGAGGCCCTCATCTCCCCAGACCGCAGGGGCTACATGGGCCTGGACGACATCTTGCTGCTCAGCTACCCCTGCGGTGAGTCCCGGGCTCCCTCGGGCGCAAGGGGAGGGGTGCGGGCGGTCAGGGCTCCTGCCTGCAGGGGGCGCAGGCCCAGCTCACCCCGCGGGCATATTCCCGCAGCAAAGGCCCCGCACTTCTTCCGCCTGGGCGACGTGGAGGTCAACGCCGGCCAGAACGCCTCCTTCCAGTGCATGGCGGCGGGCAGGGCGGCGGAGGCGGAACATTTTCTCCTGCAGGTGAGGAGGGTGGGGCCTTGGCCAAAGGGTGTTGGGGGCTTCTTCCGGCCACTGGGTCTCTCCGCCCTCTCGGGTGCCTCCATCCCCCCAGGGACGGCTCACTGGGGCCAGGACAGTTGCTATTCCCTTCGCCAGGTAAAAGAGAGATGGGGACGCTCTCCCCCCGCGTCCCTGACCCGCTCACCCCTCTCTCTCCTCGAGCAGCGGCAGAGCGGGGCGCTGGTGCCCGCGGCCGGCGTGCGGCACATCAGCCACCGGCGCTTCCTCGCCACCTTCCCGCTGGCCGCCGTGGGCCGCGAGGAGCAGGACCTGTACCGCTGCGTGTCCCAGGCCCCGCGCGGCGCGGGCGTCTCCAACTTCGCGGAGCTCATCGTCAAGGGTCAGCGCGCGCGAGCTCGCGGGGGCGGGGCCGACGGGTGGAGGGGCAGGGTTTGCAGGGGTGCGGTAACAGGGTCTTCAGGGGCCTGCAGAGGGGGCACTGCCTCTCCAGAGAAAAGGTCTGATCGAGGGGGCGGGGGTCTGATGGAGAGACCGGGCCTGGGGATGGGGCGGGGGTGGGAGCGACAAGGTGTGAACCGGTAAGGCGGTGCCAGGCCGTAGGGACCGTGGGTTAACCCGAATAGGCTTGCAATCAGCTCCTGGAGGCGAGGACTTGGGGATCGAGGGGAGTGAGGGAGAGGGTGTGGACTGAGAGGTGAGGCTGGGGTCAGACTTTGGGGTGGGGGGCCCTTCATGGTCCTGGGCATTTAATGGGGGCGGGGAAGCGTCCTGGCCGAGGGCCTGGGGGTTGCATGAAAGGCCTGGGAGGACGCTTGGGATTTGGGTGTGATCCGCGCGGAGCTGGGGCCCGAGACCTCACAGCAGATCCGTTGGCTCCGCCTCTACCCCATGTCCTCGTAGAGCCCCCCACTCCCATCGCGCCCCCGCAGCTGCTGCGCGCAGGTCCCACCTACCTCATCATCCAGCTCAACACCAACTCCATCATTGGCGATGGGCCCATCGTGCGCAAGGAGATTGAGTACCGCATGGCGCGCGGCCCGTGGGCAGAGGTGCACGCCGTCAACCTGCAGACCTACAAGCTGTGGCACCTGGACCCCGACACTGAGTACGAGATCAGCGTGCTCCTCACGCGCCCGGGGGACGGCGGCACTGGCCGCCCCGGGCCTCCCCTGGTCAGCCGCACCAAGTGCGCAGGTGAGTATGGGATCCAGGCATCCAAGGGGGGAAGTGGTGCGTTCTGAGAGGTAGTATGGCCTGCATCTGTGCTTCTAAAACTTTCTAAAACGTGATTTTTCCTCAGTCCTTGTTATGGTAAAGATAATAATAGCTAACACTTTGTGCCAGACACATAACGCACATGTACATGCACACACACACTCTCTCTCTCTCTCTCTCTCTCTCTCTTCTCTTACTGATTTAAAACTCACAACACACAAAAACCTGTACACGAATATTCATAGCAATACTGTTCATATTCATTTTATAGATGAAAAATTATAGAGAGAGTGAAAAATTTTAGAGAGAGAGGAAGGGAGAGGAAGAGAGAGTGAAAAATCAATGAGGTACAAAGATGTTAGGTTACTGGCCAGAGCTAGTAAGTGGAGGAACTGGCATTGGAACCCTTGCCTGGCTGGCTCCAGACTCTGCCCATAATTCGACATTATGTTACCTAGATAAAATAAACAACTTAACACCACCAAATGAAGAAAGTGTGTTATTAAATTGTAGCTGGAGTCTCTTGTCTGGGCATTGCTCTTCCATGTTGAAGGGCTGAAGCATCTGCTAGGAGTGATTGCACACCTGCACCAGAGAAGCCATTATTTTTAATCTGAAGAGAAATTGAGAACAAAACAATTTTCTCACTCTGTGATTTAAGCATTTGTTTTTAATTGGATTTTTTATTATAATAATTACAGATTTATATGCAGTTGTAAGACAAAAGAGAGAATTCCGTATACACGTTACCCATTTCCTGCAATGGTAACATTTCCCAAAACTGTAGTATAATATCACAATCAAGATGTTGACAGTGATACAACCCACAGATCTTATTCAGACTTCTCCAGTTTCACGTGTTGCCATTTGTGTATATGTGTGTGTGTGTGTGTGTATTTAGTTCTATTCGCTTTTATCACATGTGTAGGTTTGTGTATTTGCCACAAACCTAGATACTGAACAGTTCAATCAACTTAAGAATCCTGGGTGGTGTTCTTTTATATCCACACTAGCCTCCATTCCTTCTTCCACCACAATTCCTGAGAACCACTAATCTGTCCTTCATTTCTAAAATTTTATCATTTCAAAAATATTATATAGTCCTGCTGGTGTGGCTCAGTGCTTGAGTCGACCCATGCACTAAGATGTCAGGGCACATGCCTGGGTTTTGGGCTCAATCCCCAGCAGGGGACAACGTGTTAATGTTTCTCTGTCATTGATGTTTCTATCTCCATCTCCCTCTCCCTTCTTCTCTTTCTAAATCAATAAAAACATATTTAAAAAGTTATATAATTTATGAAATCATACAGTATATAAACTTTTGGAATTGATTTTTAAATTTGGTACCATTTTTATTGAGATATAATTCACATCTCATACAATTCAATCATTAGAATGTACAATCCAGTGGATTTCAGCATATTCACAGAGCTGTGCAACCATCACCACAACCAACTTTAGAACATTTTCATCATCCCCAAAGGAAACCTTGTATCTTTTAGTAGTCTACCCCTCATTTCTTCCTAACACCTCCAACACCAGGCAGCCACTCATTTACTTTGTCCGTGTGGCTTTCTTCATGTGCTTATATTTACAAAAATCCATATTTACCTTTTTGTGAACATTTTATATAAATGAAATCTTACAGTATACAGTTATTTTTTGTGACTGGCGCCATTCACCTAGGATAATGTTTTTAAGGTTTATCCACGTTGTGGTATATATCAGTACTCTATTCCTTTTTTATTGCTGAATAATATTCTGTTATTTGGACAATACCACCATTTATCCATTCACCAGTTGATGGACATTTGGATTGTTTATACTTTTTGGCTATTATGAACAGTTTTGCTATGAATATTCATGTACAGGTTTTTGGTGGATATATGTTTTTATTTCTTCTGGTTATATAGTGTATATATCATATGGTAACTATGTTTAACCTTTGAGGAACAGCTGCACCGTTTTACATTCCCATCAGTAGTATATGAGGGTTTTAATTTCTCTATATTCTTGTAAACATTTATTATCTGTTTTCTTATTAATAACCCTCCTAGGGGGTATGAAGTGGTATCTCATTGTGGTTTTGATTTGCATTTCCCTGATGGTTAATGATAATGAACATTTTTTTTCATGTGCTTATTGGTCATTGGTATGTCTTCTCTGTAGAAGTGTCTATTCAAACCCTTTACCTATTTTTAAGTTTTGTTGTTGTTGTTGTTGTTGTTATTGAGTTTAGGAATCTATATAATAAAAGCCTAAGTGACTGTTATGGCGGAATGACCAGAACGACCGGTTGCTATGATGCGCACTGACCACCAGGGGGCAGGTGCTCATCACAGGAGCTGCCCCTGGTGGTCATTGTGCTCCCACAGGGGGAGCGCTGCTCAGCCAGAAGCTGGGCTCACAGCTGGCAAGTGCAGCGGTGGTGGCGGGAGCCTCTCCTGCCTCCGCAGCAGTGCTAAGGAGCAGCGAGCAGGCGGGTGGTAAGGAGCGAGGGGTCCTGGACTGAGAGAGAGCGCATGCCGGGCTGAGGGACCCTCCCCCCCCAGTGCAGAATTTTGTGCACTGGGCCTCTAGTTCTTCATATATTATAGATGCTAAACCTTTATCAGATGTATTTGCAAACATTTTCTTCCATTTTGTGGGTTGTCTTTTAACTTTCTTGATGGTGTCTTTTGAAGCACAAAAGTTTTTAATTCTGATGAAGCCCAATTTATATATTTTTTCTTTTATTGTTTGTGCTTTTGATGTCCCATCTAAAACAAAAATAACAAACTACTGCCTAACCTAATAGATTTACCTCTATTTTTTCTAGGAGTTTTATAGTTTTAGCTCTTACATTTAGGCCCTTGATCCATTTTGAGTTCATTTTTGTATATGGTGTGAGGTAAGGGTCCAGCATTATTCTTTTGCATGTGGATGTCCAGTTGTCCCAACACTATTTATTTATTATTTAATTTATTTACTTTAGAAGATGACTTTAGCAATTTTTATATATGTTTTTATTGATTTTAGAGAGTGAGGAAGGGAGAGGGAGAGAGACACATCTATCAGCAGCCTCCTGTGCACCCCCTACTGAGGATCGAGCCCGAAACCCAGGCATGCGCCCTGATCAGGAATTTAACCTCTTGGTGCATGGGATGATGCTCAACTAACTGAGCCACACTAGCTAGGGGCCCAGAATCATGTATTGAAAAGATTATTCTTCCCCATTGAATTGTCTTGGCACTGAGATTGGTTTTTTTTGTTTAGTATAATTCCCTGGAGATTCATCCAAGTTGTTGTGTATATCAGTAATTTATTCTTTTTTATTGCTGAGTAGTATTCTATGATATGGATATACCACACTTTGTTTAACCTTTCACCGGTTGAAGGACATCTGGACTGGTACCACTTTTGGCTATTACAAGTAAAGCTGCTATGAGCATTTGTGTATAGGTTTTTCATGAACATAAACTTTCATTTTTTCTGGGGTAAATGCCTAAGGACTCTGCTGATGGGTCATATGCTAAGGGCATATTTAGTTTTATCAGAAACTGCCAGAATGCCTATATATTTTACATTTTCACCAGCAATGTATGAGTGATTCAATTTTCTACATCCTTGCCAAAATTTGGTGGTGCCATAATTTTTGTCATTTTAGCCATTTTGAGAGGTGTATAGTAATATGCCATCCTGGTCTTAATTTGCATCTCCTTAATGCCTATGATGTTGAACATCTTTTCATGTGCTATTTGCCATCTGCATTCCTCTTTGGTGAATTGTTTGTGTCTTTGCCCATTTTCTGAGTGGATTATTCATATTTTACTGTTGAGTTTTGAGAGGTATTTACACATTCTAGATACTAGTCCTATTGTTGGATATGTAGTTTGGAAATACTTTCCTCTCAGCTTTTAACTTGTCTTTTTATCCTCTTTACCTGGTCTGTCACAGAACAACCACTTTTAATTTTGATGAGGCCAATTTATAAAAATTTTCTTTTATTAATTGTGCTTTTGATGTCAAGTTTAAGAACTCCTTACCTAACCCTAGATGCCAAAGATTTTCTCCTGTGTTTCCCTCGCCCCCCAAAAGTGTAAAAATAGTGTTTTTTTAAAATATACATTTTTATTGATTTCAGAGAGGAAGGGAGACGGGGAGATAGAAATATCAGTGATGAGAGAGAATCACTGATTGGCTGCCTCCTGCACACCCCCCGACTGGGGATCGAGCTCGCAACCCCGGCATGTGCTCTTGACTGGAATTGAACCTGGGACTCTTCAGTCCACAGGCTGATACTCTATCCACTGAGCCAAACTGGCTAGGGCTAAAATAGTTTTACTTTTTACATTTAAGTCCACAATCCATTTTGAGTTAATCTTTGGATAAGGTACAAGGTTTAGGTTGAGGTTTATTTATTTATTTTTGCCGTTCATATTCTGTGTTTTTAAAAGCTGATCTGGGAACCATCTAAAATCCAGTTAAATGCTACATTTGGGAAGACCCTTGGGGGGTGGGCCGGAGTATTCCAGTGGGAATTACTTTCTAGCTGAGGGATCTGGGTCAGGTTACTTAGCCTCTTGGAACTTTTTTAGTCCCCTTGCTTTATAAAACGGGAATAATTTTACCATACAGAGTGTGAAGATTCATTAAAAAAAAAAAAATGGCTATTGAGTGCCTCTTATGTGTCAGGTACTATTATAGCTGTGAGGGGTTTAGGACTGGGACCAAGACAGACAAAGGTTACTAGCGTGAGAGTTCTGCATGTGGAACTCACATTTTGGTGGGAGGAGACAGTAAACAACGAAATACATAGTTTGTCAAATGATAATAAGTGCTAGGGAGGGGTGTGTGTGGCCGTAGGAGGATTGTTATTTTAAAAAGGCTCCAGAGTCTAGTTTACTGAGAAGGTGACATTTTAGCAGAGACCGGAAAGAGGTGAGGCCTGGGCCATGCAGGAAGCTGGAGGCATTGCGGGGGGAGGGGGGGGGCGGGCG